TCCGACGGGGGCCGCGACCCCGAACGCGAGCGGCGTGTCCGCTCGGACGGCGCAAGGAAGCGCACGGCGAGGAAGTGGACGAACAAGGGCCTCGAGCCACCGCCGAGCCTCCTCCTTCATGAGACGGAGGAGTACGACCGTCGGCACTGCCGTACGCCCTCCTCGGCCGCGGGCTCGTCCTCCGCCGCGAGATCTTCCCACGCCGTGAGCTCTTCCCCTTCTGGCGCGGGGCTTCTCCCCGTGAAGCGGGAGTGGTCAGAGGAGCTAGAGGAGATCGAGGTCGTCGCCGTCAAGCAGGAGCCAGAGGAGATCGAGCGCCGAGGGGTCGTCGGGCCCGAAGATTTCGTGGCCGATTTCGACGCGATCGCCGCCGCCATTGCCAAACGGAGCTTGCGCGAGGAGGCAGAGCGCCGGCGACGACGAGCTCGAAGACCTCATCCTTAAGCAAACGGTCGCGGCCAACCTTGCCACGAAGGACAAGGACGACGAGTGGCGGCGCATCCGCGAGGAGCAGAGGGAGAAGTTCATCGACCTCGTCAGCTCCGGCGAGGACTGAGCTCCTCCACCTGTTGGGGAATGTAGCATGTAATTTCAAAATTTTCCTACGATCACGCAAGATCTATCTAGGAGATGCATAGCAACAAGAGGGGGAGAGTGTGTCCATGTACCCTCGTAGACCGGAAGCGGAAGCATTAACTTAATGCGGTTGATGTAGTCGAACGTCTTCTCGAATCAACCGATCAAGTACCGAACGTACGACAACTCCGAGTTCTGCACACGTTCAGCTCGATGACGTCCCTCGAACTCTTGATCCAGTAGAGGCACGAAGAAGTCGATGAGTTCCGTCAGCACGATGGCGTGATGACGGTGTTGGTGAAGTGATCCACGCAGGGCTTTGCCTGAGCACTATGACAGTATGACCGGAGGAATAAACGGTGGAGGGGGGCACTGCACACGGCTAAACAATTGATGTCCTTTGGGGTGCCCCCCGCCCCCGTATATAAAGGAGGAGGGGAGGAGGCCGGCGACAAGGGGTGCGCCGAGGAGGGGGGAGTCCTACTAGGACTCCACTCCTAGTAGGATTCGCCCCCACCCCCCCCTCTTTTTCCTTCTTACGGAGAGGGGGGAGGGGAAAGAGGTGGAGAGGGAGAAGGAAAGGAGGGCGCGCCCCCCATCCCTTGTCCAATTCGGATTGGCTTGGGGGGGGGGGCACCTCATGCGGCCTGCCTCCTCCTCTCCACTATGGCCCATTACTAGTAGAAAAAGGGCCATTTGTCCCGGTTCATAAGGCCCATCTGTCCCGGTAGGGGAACCGGGACTAAAGGGTCGTTACTATACTCTAGGACTTTAGTCCCGGTTCTTATACAAACCGGGACAGATGGGCCTCCACGTGGCCGGTGCGGCGAGCCCAGGCACGAGGCCCTTTGGTCCCGGTTGGTGGCACCAACCGGGACCAATAGGCATCCACGCGTCAGCATTTCAGGGGCTCGGGTTTTGTTTTTTTTTCAAAGGGGGGGGTTATAGGGGGTTTTGTATGGTTAATTAAGGTGTTTCATATATTGTGTTAGGTAGCTAATTAATTAATAGAGAGAAGTGTCCTCTCTTATCTCCGTGCTTGGTCGGCGTACGCTACGTATTATACGTATAGAGAGGACTCGACATGCTAGCTAGTAAGCAAATGAAGGAAACAGAAAATTGTCATGAACATATGCATACAGAGAGAAGTGATATCGACCACCTCTCCTTCTCCAAAAGATTGGTTGAACAACAAGTTCTCGTATATCTATCGGACAATACTGGCTACATATATACAATATAATTATCTCTTACAATATAATGTCCTAATTATATATGAACTCAGGGTCCACATGGTATTCTCCGTCTTTAGCGATCACGTGGTCAAGGAAGAATGCCGCCAATTCCTCTTGAATTCCTCGCATACGATCTCGTGGTAGGAGTTCATCCCGCATCAGAAAGATCTAATTTGAAGAAGGGGGTCAATACATATATATATATATCATATATATATATATATATATATATATATATATGAATAAATGAAACTCAACACAAATGATGGTAATAAAATAAAATTGTGAATATTATTGCTTACGCACTTCATATTGTTCGTCAGAGTAGCCCCGCTCACAGGTCGTGTGGCGGCTGGACTCGCAAACTTCGTATCCACAGTAATTATTCCTGGCTTCCTGCCACAACTACTTTACAAGAAATAGAGGTCAATCAAACTGATAAGCAAGCATGCTATAAATGGTATATTGATGAAACTAGCGCTTGAATCACTAGGAGATGTGTGGAGCTTGCTAGTAGTACTTACTTTCGGGTGTCTAAATTGCAGCTTCTTTGGCGGTCCCGAAGCTTTTTTGGTGAATTTTGTCCAAACCCTGCCAGACAAAGAAAACAATTACTTGATATCAGGGAATGAACAAAGTTGCTGATATGGTGTGATAATGATCGATTTAACTTACTTCTCGAGCATTTCAGTCATGTCCGAATACTCCTTAGGATCTTTTCGTCTCGAGTCTAAGACGGTTACTATTCCCTTCTCAAGCTTAATCTCTAGGAGAATATAGTGGAACCTGCACACGCATGCATAACTCATCAATTACATTACTATAACCTGGACTAATAAGGGAAACAGAATATGCACAAGACAGTAACACTCACTTGAAGTTGTAAGGAAAGAGTATTATATCTTTGTTTTCATTTATTACCAACGATCATAGCAAGTTGGCCTCGGTATCTTTGGCATGAAATTTAACCTCATTTGCATCTATGAGATTTGTGTTAATGAACCCAATATCAGCGATTTGTCTTTTCTTCAATTCGGCGATCTTCAATCTGCATATATAATATAGTGAGGATAATTATAAATACATGCAATGAAAGAGCTGACCTATATATAGAGACTTAATGACAGAAATAGTACTACTTACAGACAGTAGCAAGTGACCGTTAATTTATCGAGGGCCATTTGATTGAAAAACTAGAAGAACTCCTCAAATGGAACATGCAACAAATCAATTCCAACGAGGTCATGCTCCTCTTTAACAAACAGCGTCAAAGTATTCGTCCCCCCAGACTCTCTGCAGGTTTTCATGTACCAATCATGGAATCTTCGCATCATCGTTGTTAGAGATGTTTCATCTTTGGCGAGAGGCTTCCCGTACTCGCATCTGTGTTCGTCCACCTCCAAGAAATCATAATGTACATCGTCGGGCAAGTAATCTCCAAGATTGCTATAACCGGGCACCATCCTCGGATCATTAGCGACGATGTCGCTAGACACCTTGAGCGGGGGGCACGATTTGTCCGCTTGTTCACCGAGCTGGGAAATTTGTTTCCTAGCTCGTTGTTCTGCTAACCTTTGATCACGGATACTACTTCCCGACCACTTCGCTTCGAGAAATGACTTTTCAATAATGCGCTCATAGTTTGCTTTCGTCGGAGACTTTGGTGGTTTCCTCAGGGCAGCCAGAGTGCGCTTCGCTTTCACCAGATCTATCTTCTCCTGCGGAGGTGGATGTTTCTTTGCTTTCACCCCTTCAAAGAAGTTCGTCACTTCGGCTCGCACGATATTCGCGTTTTCCTCCACGGTCCTCTCGTATGGTAACTTCGACGGAGTCTTCAGAGAAGGACCATATCTGTATTGCCTCCCACCTTTGGCTGTACTGCTAGACGCTGAAGCAGACGGAGCGGCTGCGGCTGTCTTCTTTCGTGCTTGCTTACGAGGCAGAGGAGAAGAACTACGATGCGCCGGAGCAGCCGGGGAGGCGGCGGGTCTCTTCCGCCCTTGCTGGCGAGGCAGAGAAGGAGGAAGTTGGCTGCTCGGGCGTGCCAGCGCAGGCGGAGAAGGAGGCAGAGTGCCACCACGCGCCGAAGGAGGAGGAGGAGGTGGCGGAGTGCCCTGACTCGCCGGAGGAGGCGGTGGAGGAGGAGGCGGAGTGCCCTGACT